AGATAGGTAGATAGATAGATAGGTAGCCTCTTCTCCCCCTCCCTCGCTGATAACGTTATCATATTCGTTATCAGTTGATATTCTGTTCTTCTTAGTTCTTCATACTACGTGTGTATGTGTGTATATGTATATGTATGTGTATCTGTATATGTATAAGTATATAGACAGATAAGTAAAGATATAGGTTGATAAACAGGTGGATAGATAAGTTGATAAATAGATGGATAGATAGGTAGGTAGATAGATGGACAGACAGGTAGATAGAAAGGTAGATAGATAGATAGACAGACTGATAGATAGATAAATAGATAGATAGGTAGATATAGCAAGCTAGACAGATAGATAACCAGACAAATAGACATAAAGAGAGCTCGATAGTTAGGCAGATAGACAGAAACAGACATATAGACAGAGAAATAAATATGAATAATTGGATTGATATGTAGACAGACAGATAAACAGATAAAAATGGACAGACCGACTGATAGATAGAAGCTGATGGAGAGATAGATGATTATAGATGAATAGATATACATTAAATTGTACATATACGCTTGCATACACAGGCACAGACACACATCCTCACACACAGTGTATGTGTGTGTGTGGATATATATGCATAGAGAGAGAGAGAGAGACTGATATAGACACACACACACACACACACACACACACACACACACACACACACACACACACACACACACACACACACACACACACATACACACACACACACACACACACACACACACATACACACACACACACACACACACATACATATACACACACACACACACACACACATACATATACACATACACATAAACAGTCACACACGCACGCACGCACGCACATACACACACACATACACACACACACACAAATATATATATTTATATATATATATATATATATATATATATATATATATATATATATATATATATATATATATATATACATGTATATATGTATGTATTTACGTATGTATATACAAAAAAATACATATACAGAGACATAAAGAATCCTAAGAACGGAGAGAAATATGAAATCTCACCCACGCAGATCATCCTTAGGCCTATGTAATTATTATGACTAAACACTTTTCATAATACACATCACCCTATTTTCAGAGTATTTGATGTTTAGATACGGAAAACAACAGTCTAAAACGCATATTCCTTTGAAAAATTACCATAAATAGACCCATGATGAAATCACATCAGAGGCAGGCGCGTGGGAGCTTGTCTAGCGACGTTTGGCAATGAGCTTAATGGCGGTTTGATGGTCAAGACAATGGCACTCCAGGCTATATGACATTCCAGAGAAGGAATCTCTTGTATCGGGATGGGATTTTCGCCCCTAAGACCCCCTCTAAAACAAGTGACGAACGCTTTCTTCAAAATGAGCTACGGCAGAACTGTTGACTTTAAGGGGGGAAGAGTAAAAAAAATAAAAAAATAAAAAAAAGGGACCCCTGTTTTCGCCGCGTTTGAACAACAGCTGATAACGAACGCTACCAAGTTGTGTCTTGAGTCTTGAACGCGACCAAAATACCTCTGGCTTCATAGTCCTTTTTAAAATTTTTTTTTTCTTTTAGCGAGAGAGACATCGTTGGGTAAATTAGAGTAAGATTTCAACTCTGGATAAGAGATATTAGATTAGAGAAAGGATGAGATAAAGAAGGAGGGAGAGAAGAAAGAGACGAGGGTAGGAGGAGGAGGAGAAGAAGAAGAGAGCCAGAATAAACAAACGAGACTCTTTAAAATCGTGTGACTAGACAAAATGGCCAATTAGTACGGGTCAGAGCAACAACTGAAGTGTCCAGGCGAGCGGAGGATGCCAGATTGTTGAACGCGGCCGGTCTGCATAAACAAACACACAGCCCGCGGCAACGGTCTGTACTTGAAGACAGGGCCATAAATAAACGCAGTAAAGATCGTGCAAGACTGGCTACTCCCGCGGACAATCGAGGGGGGAAATTTGTCTGAAGAAATACAAAATAAGGACATAATATTTACACTGGTATCAGCTGGGTAACAATTCTCCATGTTCATCCTTATTTGGATTTTTTTTTAAACGAAAGATGAATGGATGTTCAAACTGCTTTCCTTAAAGGGCTTGATGTTAATCTATGATGAACATGAGAGAGAGAGAGAGAAAGGAGAATAATGAATGTGATGGGAAAGGAAAGGAATTAAAGGAAATGAGGAAATATTCCACAACGAAACTACATATAAACGAAAAAAAAAATCAGACTTTTGAATCAACCAGTGAATAACACATAACAAAAGATATATACAGTATATATATATGTTTGTTTGTTTTTTCGTTTTTTTTTTCTCTTATGTCAGAAATATTAAACTATATAAGGATTCTAGTGACGAAGTAGAAATATCATAGATGAATGGAAAATATCTCTTCGTAAAGAAGAAAGAAAAGGGAAAAGAGAGAGAGAGAGAGAGAGAGAGAAAGAAGGAAAATAAGATTAAAGTAAAAAAAAAAACGAAAAAAATAAAGGCGAAGCAGCTTTAACCCAAACCCTCAAATTCCTCAACTCCTCACTTACTCTCATCCATCCTCATGACACCCTTCCCCCCTCCCTCCACCCCTCCACCCCTCCACCCCCCACCCCACCAAAAAAAAAAAAAAAAAAACGAAAACGAAAAAAAAAAAAAACACACACACACCACCACGCACATCTGGATAAGCAATATATCAGGCTGGGTAAACTGGACAATAATTGGATAATCGAGGTTTCAGTAAGATAAACCGGGTCTCCAAGTTGCATGGCCATTTTCACAGGTCGGCAAACAGGGCAACAGCGCCTTAGCAATCAATGCAACAAGAGCTCTAACGCCCTTTGGAACTATATAGTCTGCAAGCTCTCCTTGGTCACTGCAACAGCTCAATATCCGGAAACGGAGGGGAAAGGGGTGGGCCGGATACGGAAGGAAAAGGGGGAAGGAAGGAAGGAAGGAAAAGAGACATAGGCAAAAAAAAAAATGGAAAAGAGAAGGAATAATAAATAGGATATCTCGGCCTCCTCGATGCCATACCTCGGATATCCCTCGGCACTCAGCGCTGATACCTAGGATATCACTCAGGCACTACTCC